CACGGTTGTTCCGGCAATATTTCTTATGCTTGCTGGGAGGACGTTGAACAACCGCGGACCTCTGATGTTTATACAGTGTTCTCTGATTGTGCCTATGGCACATCTGCTCTTCACTGGTTCTATTCTACATTTTCTTCCATATCGTTTACTCCAGTACGTTGTTATTTTACTGTGTAGATTTGGTACTTGGCCCTCCAGTATCTTCCAGGTGTATATTATTTGATATCTCTCTCGTCTTCTTTCTAGTGAGTACATTTGGAGGGCTTTGAGACGATCCCAATAATTTAGGTGCTTTATTGCATCTATGCGTGCCGTATATGTTCTCTGTATTCCCTCTATTTCAGCAATCTCTCCTGCTCTGAAGGGGGAAGTGAGTACTGAACAGTACTCAAGACGGGACAACACAAGTGACTTGAAGAGTACAACCATTGTGATGGGATCCCTGGATTTGAAAGTTCTCGTAATCCATCCTATCATTTTTCTGGCTGTCGCAATATTTGCTTGGTTATGCTCCTTAAACGTTAGGTCGTCAGACATTATTATTCCCAAATCCTTTACATGCCGTTTTCCTACTATGGGTACATTTGATTGTGTTTTGTACTCTGTATTATGTTTAAGGTCCTCATTTTTACCATACCTGAGTACCTGGAATTTATCACTGTTAAACATCATGTTATTTTCTGATGCCCAGTCGAAAACTTTATTAATATCAGCTTGAAGTTTTTCAATGTCCTCAGCCGAGGTTTTTGTGTCATCTGCAAAGGATGATACGAAGCTGTGACTTGTATTTTTGTCTATATCTGATATGAGAATAAGGAAAAGCAGCGGTGCAAGGACTTGCACCTTGTATTCAAGTTCAAGTATGATTATTGAGATAAGAAAGAAATACATCTCAAAGGGATAGAGTAGCTTAGACTATTTCTACCCCCTCTACTTCAAGTCCCTCAAGGGGCGCACAAATTCAGTGAGTACAAATAACATTACAAGAATCCCATTTAACATTGCAGGTTAATATAGTAAGTACAGCATATAATTGTTACACTCTTGGGGCAAAATTCTTGTAGCTCCTAAGTATACTGTCTATCATACCATTATCACATCCAAACAATTTGATGTGGTACACTATTTATTTCCTTATTTCTATAGTTATCAATAAGTTGACACTCTGATACATAATGTTCTAAGGTGTGGGCGTGTGGCATATTACATAATTTACACTCCTTATCTTTTTCACTGACATCAACACCGTATTGCCAAAATATTTGTATCCTAATCTTAATCTCATGTAAATTGAACCCTTCCAAGTAGACTTTCCTCTACCATAGGTAAAGGACGAATTTGTATTTATTATTAAATAATTCTTAAGTGTGTTACTATTGTCCACCATTGCCATTCTCTTTATCATTTCTTCCTCCTCTTGGATCATCTTGATTCTTGTTATTATTTGTTTTAAGGTTATCTGACATACAACATCAACAAGAGTTTTTTCCGTGGCTCTCTTCGCTATGTCATCAACTACCTCATTCAACAGTATTCCCACATGTGAAGGGATCCACATGAATCTTACTTTATACCCAGTTTTTTCTCGTTTCTTGACATTCTCTCTACACTATCACAATATTCTGGTAAACTGGTCGTCTGCTATTTAAAGACTCTAACGCTCCTCTACTGTCAATAAAGAAGCAGGCATTTTTACCACATTTGACTACTTATTGTAATCCTGCTAATACACCTTGGAGTTCAGCTTGCGTTGAAGAGACGTTGTCAGTTAAGCGGCGTCCAATAACGGTATCTACAGTGCCGATGTCAGTGTACTCCCTGATCAAGACTCCACATCCTGCCTTCCCATCCCTAGCTACTGACCCATCACAATATACATGTAGAGTGTTTTCTGTAGGCAGTTTTCTAATTATACAATCATATGTTGCTCTCAGCTCTCCTATTTCATACATACTTTTTTTCTTTTGCAAGGGAGTAATTACCACATCTACATTACAATCCTCCCATGGAGATGTGAATTTTCTCTTGGGCACAGCAATACACTCTGTAATAACATCATACTTTATAACATTAGAACATAAGTTATTCATATATACTCTCTTCTTCATTATACACTGTTCACTACTTCCCACCTTTTGAACCGAGAGGATTAATTCATTAGCTCCCCCACCTCTCATTAATCTAATGGCAGAGGCTACATTTATCTCTACAATTCTATCCCCAATACTCTGCAGATTCAACTCCATCCTCATTATCTCATTTCTTGGGCAGCCTAAGATAATTCTCATGGCTTCATTTTGTACCTTCTCCAACTTGCCCATCCTACCTTTACCAAAACAAGAAATGAGAGGTGCAGCATAATCAATAAGAGATCTTACAGTACTCAAGTATATCATTCGTAGCACAGGGACTCCCCTTTTGGGTGGCTTAATCTTCATCAATCATCTTCCTCATCACGGAGACATCTCCCGTCACGCAGGGTGCAGTCGCACCATCTATTGATACTGGTGATTTCCACAGCATGCCAAGGCCTTCAGAGGTTGTAATCTCTTCCGACATTGACCCAACAGTCTGTTCATCTCAGCTTCCAAACTCTGATGGGTATATCCAACATATATGCCTAAATATTTATATATATTAACTCTCTATATTTTTACCGTTTATTTTCAATATAATGGGCCTCAACGCCTTGTATACTCTTGTATATTTTTGTTTTACCGCCTAGGAACGTGGGTGTAACGTTCCTGTATGATAGTGCGCACTTAGACAAGTTATGTCTTGTATGTCTTGTCTTAGACAAGTTATGTCTTGTAGATAAATGTAGGAGACACAACTGAATAGTGCTGGCCGTGCAGGTATCTTAGTTTAAAAATTTTAATTTATTTTTTGCCCCGAGGGGCAGCGCCACTCATCCTGTGAGTGGACACACCGCCAAAGCAGCATGTACAACACTCCCCAATAGGAAGAAAACCCGCTGGGTTGTTCATCTTGTCACTTCTTAGTTTAGTGTTAGGATGTTGTACTCCATTCCCATCATACAAGGAGCCTGAGTTATTAATATAAAAGGCTACTGTTGACGTAGTTATTTTACCACTACCGAGGTAGATGTATAAAGGGTAGATAGGCGAGCCTCTTCACATCGCAGTGAAGCGTCTTAGTTCTGGGGCGGCCAAGATCCCTCTTGTTAGGAGGGTCTCGTAGTAGTTGGCTTCGTTCTCGACTAATCGGGGATCCGGGGTTCGATTTCAGGGCAGGACAGAAATGGTTGGGCACGTTCCCTTTCACCTAATACCTCCTGGGTTAGTGGTTCGACATTTGGGAACCTCGATACAAGCCTAAAGAGTGTGTGTGTTTCGAATTAACTTGTGGTTGGGAATCCCCAGAGCATGGGTTCGAATCTTCTTCACGGCTCCAACAGATTTTCTCACTGTTGCTACGATGTTTCCGACAAAGTCCACTCGAACGAAATTGCTACTCGCCGTTGGTGTCTTTAACATTCGTAAAATCCATTAATCGTACCAATTCTATAAATGTGATGCTGGCCTGAAGAGTCATTTTACTTTATTTTGCGTAAAGGATTTCTCATGACCGAAGGGATTTGTTATGTCCATAACAAGTCCCCACTCGTTGTGTACCCAAGTTGGGTATCGTTGCTCTGGTACTGGCTGAATTTTGGTACCTTCAGTGTGCCGTCTCCTATGAAGGGAAGGGAACTATCAGGGGGGGAAAGCCCCAAGCCATTACGACTATATAGCACTGGGAAGGGGCCAGGATAAGGATTTGGGATGGGACGGGGGGAAGGAATGGTGCCCAACCATTTGTGGACGGTTGGGGGATTGAACGCCGACCTCCATGAAGCGAGACCGTCGCTCTACCGTCCACGCCAAGTGGTTGGGTGCCATAAGCAAATTGTGACGTTGCATGCAGAAGGCTGTCAGAAAAAAAAACAGTATCCCACAGTGTTGGTCAGAACCGCGCCCCGTCCCCGCGGCCTGTCTCTGTCCAAGGTATTCAGGTATTTACCTGAATTTACCCGAGAGCCAGTATCTCTAGTAGCCTCGACAAGGACAGGAAGCTGGCGGCTTGTCAAATGCCCCCCCCCCCCAATTTGTCCTGATGGTCTTACATATATTTGGATCGTACATTGTAGCTGGTGTGACTATGATGACATGGTTGTCAGATACCGTGTGGCTTCATACCTGTCCATCACGCCAGACCCATTTCTGGGACGTCTCCTTGCTGGGCCACCATAACCTCCCACCTACAGTACACTCGCCCTGGTTCCTAGTTGCCCGGAATTAGCGTGTACTGGGTCACGGAGACGACTGAGAGCGTTCCACACTACATTTTACTGTCCTACTGTACCTACACCAACCCCCTTACCCCATCGCCACTTAGCCCTACCCCGTCCCGAATATCTACACTTAGATCTATGTGTAGATCTACACGCTTAACTTTGGGGTTAAGTTTCTGATGCCTTTTATATGCGTATGAGATCTTTTCCAGTAGCGCTCACAGGCAGGATGTGGGGTGCATAATAATTGGAGTAAACTAATAGTGAAGGTACCCATGTCTTGGTGTATGGAGAAGAGCAGGGCAAGAGTGCACACCATTTACGGTGGAGGGTGAGCGAGAGGTGTAAGAAAGGCAGCAGCAGCACCAAGGTAGCGCCCCGCGGCACGCCACACATCATACACCTGTCACTTGACCCACGTGCAGCTTCCGTGGGAGTCGAACGGCATTAGAGAAGATACGGTAAGGTGTAGACTCAGTCTTGGAGGACTCGTGGTGTACAGGTGAGTGGCGGGAACCCTCGGGCTCGCCGCCCCTCACACTGGCCCCATATGATCTGTCTCCGCCACAAATAACATATTCTGATTGTAGCTCATCTGCCAGGATAGTTACTCGAGATATTGACGACACTGTGGCAAGGGACGACGGCTGGCTAGATGGGTTTATAGGTTTGTGAGGGATGAAGAGGGCTGGGAGGCAGCGCTGGGTGGTGAAGGGTTCAGTGTGCTGGTGAGATCTGTGACGGGTACACGCGCGCTCCTCGCCTCTCCTGGCGTCTGTCTCATATACCCCTCCAAGTTGATGCTTCACTGTGTAGTAGCCACTTGTGCCACACTCGTCCATCTTGCTGGGACAAAAATTGTGTACACAGGAACTTAAATACCATTTAGTAATACATGTGACCCAGTTATGAGACGTGATGTATTGTGAAACACCGTGACAGTTTGTGTAGCTGAATGTATTAACTCGAGTACAGTGTTGGAAACCTCGACAAGTCTGCTCTATATTAATAAACAACGATAATCTTTGCTAAACAATGAAAGTGGTGATATAGCTATTTCATGTTTGCCACTATTGCCCTACAACTAATCAACGGGGCCCGTGGCGTCTAACATACTCTATATGAATAATTCTCGTAATTTAAAATTAATTGCAGAACATTTTGTTATAAAAGATCAGAGTAAAGGGATATTTAAGCATTAATGCAGGTTGGAGAGGGATGTAGTTTTAAGGTGGTGACAGTGTTGGTGTCAGCCGGGTTAGATCCGGTCTTAGCAGTGGGCCTGGCAGAGGGGGGGGTGGGGCCTGGCAGAGGGGGTGTGGGGCCTGGCAGAGTGGGGTGTGGGGTCTGGCAGAGGGGGGGAGGCATATGGTCTATTTATAGTTTCTAAAAAGATATTCCTCTAAAATTGAACCTTAAAAGTTAATGGACCAACCGGACCAACCGGGCTGTGGTGGATATGTGGGCCTGCGGGCCGCTCCAAGCAACAGCCTGGTGGACCAAGCTCTCACAAGTCAAGCCTGGCATCGGGCCGGGCTTGGGCAGTAGAACAACTCCCAGAACCCCATCAAGCAGGTATTAACCAGGTGATAGGGTACTGGTTGACGTTCTTACCCGTAAATGGAGCTACCTTGTCCCAGTCTGGTCACTCGCTGGATGGGTGACACGGCCCAACTCATCCTTCCCATGCCGCAATATATATAATATATATATAATATATACTGGAGTAGAAATTCTAGAACATAATAATTTAGTAAAGTAAAATTTTGTGCGTTATCTGGTGTGGGGTCCATGCTGTAGCTGCACATTCTAAGACTAGTTCAACATGGGCCGAGTGTTACGGCTAGTTTATTGTGCACCCCATACTCATCCTGTGAGCGGTAGCGCAAAAATGTATTCGCTGAAATAGGAAGTCACTGCAGGCATCTCTGGCAGTTGGGCTTGTATAGTGATCTAGATGATGTAAAGTTTGTGGGTAGAGACAAGGAGCCTAATTCATGAAGCAGTTACGCAAGCACTTACGAACGTGTACATCTTTTCTCAATCTTTGACGGCTTTGGTTACATTTATTAAACAGTTTACAAGCATGAAAACTTGCCAATCAACTGTTATAAACAGCCTCCTGGTGCTTCGGAGCTCATTAACCGTTTAATAATTTTAAACAAAGCCGTCAAAGATTGAGAAGATATGCAGGTTCGTAAGTGCTTGCGTAACTGCTTCGTGAATCTGGCCCCTAGACTAGACGTATAGTATTTTCTTGTGTTAAGTTGTGAGCGCCATTGGTGAGTTGAGGTGTTTAGTGTATGTGGTTGATAATGTTGAGTATAAGGGCCTCCAGCTGGTGTTTATGTCCACTCCCTAAACCTTTATCTTTGTGTTATTACTTGCTCTTGTGTACTGTGGTGTCTCCTCTCCTCTCTCACCTCCTCACGCACCTCGCACACTCACCCTTCTCAAGATGTATTATTAAATACGAAGGTACTTAAGGAAATTCCTGTTTCAATTCTTCCTCCGTGGTCTGACACGGTGCAGTCACCTACATGTTACTGTTGGCTGGAACAGTCCTCCCCGCCACGGGGAAAGAAAACAGAGCTTCGTTGTGTAAGTAACAGTATGGCAAATAAACAATAAATGAAATACTTTATTGGTAACCTCCACATGGGGGGGGGGAGGGATGAATATGAATCATTAGAGGGAACCTTCCACTTAAACAAAAAAACAAATAACATGGTGTCTTTACTAAATTTTTACTGGTTCGGTAACAGGGTTGTTGATTTGTGGAACCAATTACCGCGTAGCATAATAGGAATAGGATCCCTTGATTGTTTCAAGCGCAAGTTAGACATATATATGAATGAGATTGGGTGGATATATATAGGAGCTGCATCGTGAGAGCCAATAGGCCTTCTGCAGTTACCTTCATTCTTATGTGCTACATGACAAGGTCAAGTTTAACACATTACCGGGTTTGTGAATGAGGAACCTATCTTGGTGATAGGTGACTGTAATCCCACATACACACTTTGATATTGACTGTAATCAACCAAAATGTAATAGAAGTGAAAACATCAGAATGCTGGGTGATGGACTGTCTCTGAGAAGGGAGACTTTTGCCTCTGCACTTGTGCTGTGTGAGCAGGAGAGATGCCAGCACTGTGTGTGTGTGTGTGTGTGTGTGTGTGTGTGTGTGTGTGTGTGTGTGTGTGTGTGTGTGTGTGTGTGTGTGTGTGTGTGTGTGTGTGCAGTGACCCCTGAGCACTGCTTACAACCACTCGTATAAAGGAAACCCACAACAAAGGTTGTCACTGAGCACACACAGAGGCCCTGACGGCATCAATAAATGCTTAATAGATACCCTGATGGCATCAATTTGTTGACAACCTCAGCACACAGTGAGAGGTGCTAGTACACCGTACACGGTTCCAAGGAACAACTCCTCAAAAGATAAGTAAATGGTTTAAGACCGGTTATATAAAGCTCAGAAAATATAAGCCGTCAGAATAAAGAGTATCAGATATTCCGCATAAAACGTTTTGGACTTTTTCCTGGCTGTTTAAAACAATAAGAGAGGTAAAATTAAGAAGCAGAAAGAGTGAGTTACTCTACTAAAGAAGCTCTATCGGAATAGAATCCAAAGACATGTGTGGATACAAAAAATGGATTGATAAAGATAGCAAGGTTAGGTTAGCCAACCCAACCCAATTAATTTCTTTAATCTGATATGATTGAGGAAAGTCTTGTGTTGTATTTCTGAAATCTCCCTGTTTACATTATTCCTTCTTTGTAATGACAGTTGTCTGCTTAAGACTTTCAATTATTTCTATCCTCCTCCTGTGGCGCCTTCTGTGTTTTCTTTCTAAGCCTGACCTCTTTATGACTTTGCGCAAAGGAACCTATTTCAGACTGATTTTGGCAGTCAGCTGTGCTATTCCCTGTGTGGGAGGTATATTACTCAGCAGAGTTTCCCATTGAATGTTTGAAGGTTCTCTGTTTATTGTTTCCCAATATATGCATTTATTATTAAATCTGGAATTTATTGAATAATCGCTCTCGTTTGATCAGTTTAAGACCTATTACGAGTATTGATGCTAATGAGCAGTTCAATGAGCTTGTGATCTGAGATTTTCATGTCCCTGATTATTTCTTCATTTGTGTGAAGATCAGATCTAGAACATTTTCGACTCTAGATGGCTCTTATTTGCCGGTTAAGCGAATTTAAACTTTAAATGCATATGTGAGGATATCATCAATGACATAAGAGGCAATAAAGTAATTGCAAAACTGCAAGTACTTCACGGCGGCAGGTCCGAGGGGTGTAACAACGAGGCATTCAGTAGTGTAGTGTGAGAGATCATGACCCAGTTCCTGTTCAGTTGCAATGAACAATTTTCTTTTATTAATACATCGGGTACATCTGCATTTGTGCAGCTACCATAGACTATATGAAGGGGGAGTACAGTACACTCTAAGGCACTACATATTCACTGTTCACTATGTCATTACCATCTACTGCAACATTCATGGATCCTATTGGTCGTTGTGTGATACAAGAGCACGGCTCTGACACACACACACACACGGTCCCTTTGGCTGGGCTCTGTCAGAAGACCACATAAGTTTGATTGACAGTTGAGAGACGGGACCAAAGAGCCAGAGCTCGACCCCCGCAAGCACAACTTGGTGAGTACACCCACTGCAGTCATCTGTGTTCCCTTCCCCACGTACTTGGTCTTGTGTTTATTTAGTGCCTCTAAATATTCCTAGACACAGACGGCACTATGGTCTAACCCAGTGAGGGAAGGAGGTTATCTTGATGATTTCGGGGCTTAGCGTCCCCGCGGCCCGGTCCTCGACCAGGCCTCTACCCCCAGGAAGCAGCCCGTAGCAGCTGTCTAACTCCCAGGTACCTATTTACTGCTAGGTAACAGGTGCATCAGGGGGTGAAAGAAACATTTTGCCCATTTGTCTCCGCCTCCACCGGGGATCGAACCCGGATCTCAGGACTACGAATCCTAAGCGCTGTCCACCCAGCTGTCAGGCGGAGTGAGGGGGAGAGGGATGCTAGGAGAGTGAGTGAGGGGGAGGGGGGGGTTATCGAGGGGTGACTCAGACATAAAGCCACTGGCGAAACATGTTTTTCTGGCTTCTGGCTTTTTATGTTCCAATATTTTATCTCCATTCCGTATTGCACGGTGTTGTACTATTTTTCAGCATACACTATTTTGTGTATGGTATAAATACATTTTTCTGGCGAAGATTAGTATATACGAGGCTGAGGTTGGGCGTTTGTTGTGAGGTTGTGTAATATTTACTGGGTATAGTGCTTGATAGTGTTGGGGGGGGGGAGGTGACCTTGGCTTGCTAGTGGCTGACCCGGCAGGCTTCTTGTATCAGGCTGGGTGACTTTGTATTAAAAAATAGTGTTTAGCTTCAAACAATTCGAGCTTTAACAATTCAGCAGCAAGCCTATCGTCTCACGTTATTATTAGGTCATGACTGTGGAAATACCCAGTGGCTGTATTGGAGAAAATGGTGACATTTGTGGTGATGTGTGGTATCAAGCAGGTGTGTACATGGGATGGGTCCTGTGTAAACATGTGTGCCTCTTGCTTTAGAGGCAGCACTAGAGGCAGGTCTAGAGGCATCACTAGAAGCAGCCCCCTCCACAGGCGCTGCTTCCAACACTCATCCCTCGATCTTTTGCCTCTTGTCATATGCCATTTTCCTTTAAATATTCTATTACATTTATTCGATTGTTCATATCGGTATTTAA